TAGTACTGTTGGGGTTAATTAATACAACGAATTTTGGGTGAAATTAATGACCCTAACTGTTTTCTAAACATGGAACCAACACTGTGACTTCACTATTCCCCTTCGTCATCCTAAAACTCTCCTATTATACATTCTCTTTTCTGATTTTGTTTTCTTAATTAAATCCGAATATATTTAGTTTATTTATACATAGTTCCACAAGTGTTGTAATCTGTGGTGAGTTTAGAAACGCAAAGCATTTTTATAGAAAAAATATGGATATATTAGAAGTGATTTTTCCTTCCTGTTACATTATATCACTTTGTGTGTGTAGATATATAGAATTTATCAGATTTATCTCTGATTAATGCGAAGAACAGATAAAAAGTTACGGTAATCCGGTATAATTATTTAACGTTTATATAAAAGTTCTGAGATCATATTCAAATTAATGCGCGTAGGTTAATGAGCTTAGTTTTCTACTCGGAAATAAATTACATGAATTTAAAGTTGCTGTCAACAAGACTGTGGTAGTAGTTTTTTTTCTTTCACAAATAGCATTAAGTTGTAGGTTTCTACTTTTGTTTTCCCATTTCTCATTATGTTTGAGATTTCTGGATTTGCCTAGGACAAAATATATTCTTTCCGTATCATATTAGATCATTTTTAGAGAATTGTTTTGTCTCAAATTAGATGATATTTTAAGTTTTCAAAATAAAATTAATTATATTTTTGTTGTTTTTGACTCTTTAAATTTTGCAGATTAATTTTCTATTGGTTGAATTATATTGGAATTGGTAGTTTTATGTTGAAAAATAGAAAATTAAATAGCTTTTTAATTTATATGTAAAAATCTTAAAAATCATTTAAAATAATACATAGGAATTTAAAATAATACAGAAGAAATATCATTTATTAAATAACTTTCTTTAAACGAATATATTGGTCCCACTCTTATCACAGCTATCTTAAATTATTTGTTTGCCAAATTTAATCGCATTAACACTTTGAAAACGACTAATACTTACATCTTATGTGAACCATATACATTATACATTCGAAGATGACTTCTCTTTCGGATACAATTATACAAATACTCTTCTTCTTTTTTTACACTCCATACTTTAAGAAAAATACAGAAAAAAATAGAATCTTTAGCTGTTCATCCATAGTTTTTCCCTTTCGACGATATGGAAGTTTATCCCCCACCGTGGGCGACTTTGACCCACGCTATTCTGAAGTGTGTTATCCAATTTACCGTTGAGATAACATAATGGCTTTTTTGCGGTCCAGACGATCTATTACCCCATTTTGTAATTATTAATCCATCATGAACCACTAATTGCAACGTCAACTTTCTAAAATCCACCCACTTAGCATATAAACACAGGCAAATTCACACCAAGTTGAAGAATTCAAGTTGGCATTCCTCGTAAAATAACTTTTGCGTACATCTTTTAAAATTTCCAACTCTTTGCGAAATCTGATCTTCGCAGAGATAGCTTATTAATTACATGCACAAATATCCAATCGACTATCATATTGGAAGAATAAATATTGGAGAAATTTCAAAAAGTGTCACTTTACGAAAATGCCACACTTTTGAAATCTTTACAAAATTACCATTTTTTCAATTTTTTTTTATATTATTTATGTTTGGGTTATCTATGTTCTATTAAGGTTTACTTATGAGGGTTTAGGAGGGTTTATGGGTCAAAACATTT